TCATTAAGTAGGTTTTAAAGAATTCAGAATTGCTTTTGCAAGACCTTCATATTCATGGAGGAAGAGAGCCAGGTGGAAAACACCACTAAAATGCTTTGATTTGTATTGGAATTAGACTGAAGTTAAGGTCATAGTGAAAGAAGTGGCCGTTTGTGTTGTTTAGCCATACTGACACTAATGTGTATGTATGCGCAGATACTATGATGACAGCAAGCACAGGAAGTTAGAGGAATTCCGCAGTAGCCGAGACCACCGGCTGGACATGAAGGATCATCACTCAGACCACCGCTCTTCCTACCGCTACCACTCAGAATGGCAGACAGAGCAGCGAGGCTCAGCCAGTGGGCAGCGCTCACCCTACGACTCCCGGTCACCACTTGGGCACCGCTCACCTTTTGACTACTCATCAGACCACAAGAGCACACCAGAGCAGATTTGGAGCAGCCGCAAAACATAACAGGAGTTGCCCAGGTCTGCAAGTAGCAGCCATAAACTCGGAAACACAGCAAATGCCTTACACAGACTGTGGACTCCAACCTGAAGCTGTTTGAAGCACTGCGTATCAGTCAGTTCAGCATGACTGTCATCTCCTCGCTTCAGCAGCAGCTCATCTCGGGAACCCGGCAGGGAGCGGCTCAAAGCAGGCAACAGATTAGAAAAATAAATAAATCAAAGCTTATTTTTGTATTTAAGAGTTTAAAGCTGTAGTGTCGTGTATGCTCAACAGCATGCGCCACAATTTTTGTTATTTTTATAAAACGTTTTTTTACACAAATGGACACAATTGACCCTGAGTGCTGCCTCATATGTCACCAACCTATGACACTGGATCCTGTATTTGACTGTTAGTTGTCTCTGTATCTCAATCATTCTTAATGTGATTATCTACCTTATTTAAGTGTTAACTGAACAAGAAGTTGGTTGTCACATGAATAATGTTATAAGGTGATTTTTAAGGTGTCTGGACTCAGGCTCACCACCTGAAGTACCTCATTTACAGCATTTGTCATTTCCTCAGCAGTTTTCTTTTTGTGTGTGTGTTTGTTTTGTAATTCCCCCACATAAGGCATGCATTATTTAATAACACATCTTAGCTGTAAAAAAACAAACAAACAAAAAACACATGGATGCTTTTTTCCCTTTTTTTTTTAGCTATCATGTTTGTTTTCCTTAAATACTACTATTGTAAATTTTTTGTAAAATAGTAAATCGATGGTCTTTTTCCTCAGGCTCTTTGAATTTATTATGACTTGGCTTACCCCATCAACTCAGGCTTTTTGTCATTCTATAAATGAGTTTCTGTATATTTCTTTAAGAATGTAACTTTTGGTAAAGGGAAAGGTCTTTTAAGCATACCCAGTGTTCATTCACTAGTGCTTAGTTCTTTGATCTCTGTCGTGAAATGAGTGAGTTGGCAGGAACTGACTTGTCACAGTCTGGAAAATAGAAGCATCTGTTAGATGTTAAATAAAATATGCTTTTTACATGACTTTTTTTTTCTTTACCTTTCATAGTTTATTTGTAGGCAATAATAATCTTTCTATGCAGCCAAGTATATTTGTGGTGAACCACCCAACTGAATGAAGTCACTGTTACAGTTCGCTCTGTTGTAGATAAATTTTCTCTATATTTCCAAAAGAATTTACACTGAAAATGCATGAATTTTTATGGACTGTTTTATATAGTTGTTTATGAAGCCATTAAAATCAATCACTGTACTCCCTCCTACCACCTCAACAGTGTGTTACATTTTTGGTTTTGCCACAAGTTAACCTTTTTTGGAACACACTATTACAAGACGTTGCTCAAAAAAATAAATGAACACTTTGAAAATATCAAATCTCAATAGGGGGGAAAATTGCTTAATATCTATGTTGCTATGGACTGAATACTGCTTTAGGAATGGATGCCTGTCATGGTGACTGATGGAAATTTAAATTACCAAACTACACATAGCTGAATTTAAATACAACCTGAAACCCAAAGAATGAAAAAAATTATGCGGCAGACTAGTCCATTTTGCTGAAATTTCGTTGTATAAACTTAAACTGGTACTCAGTATGGACCCCATATACTTTTATGTAAGCCTAACAACACTGGAGCACGCTCCTAACGACATAACAGATGGTTTCCTGGGGGATCACCTCCCAGACCTGGATCAGAGCATCACTGAGCTTGGTGGCGTCAGATGGACCAAGACGTGATATATCCCAGATGTGTTCTGTTGGACTTAAGTCAGGTGTGGGGGAAGTCAATGGTGTCAATTCTGGTGCACCAGGAGGAAGTCAGGTACCACTGCACCAGTGTTGGTCTAGCACTGGATCCAAGGACTTCATCCTGATATCCAGTTAGTGTCCCATTGCCTGGCCTGTAGAAGTCTGTTCATTTCTCCCCCAGAACATTACTAACCCACCACCAGTGGGTCAGTCATGTAATATGAGTGATGTTACGCAGCATAATGTTCTCCACAGCTTCTCGCATCTATCACTGCTGTAGGACTTGCCAGTTCTAGTATTCTATACAAGGACCTTCTATAGCCCAGTCCACTACTCTTAGGGTAACTAATCTCAGCAAACCTTATTGCAGTGGCACATGTTGCTATGGTAAATGGACTGATTCCTATATAGCGCTTTTCTACTCTCCTGGAGCACTCAAAGCACTTTATACAACATGCCACACTCACCCATTCAGCACTTTCTTCTATGCTTTTCAGTGCTTCCTAGCTAATATTCGCTTCGATGGATGCATCAGAAAGCACACTGGTATCTTATTGAAGCATCAAACCACTAACCTTTGATCAGTAGATGACCTGCTCTACCTCCTGAGCTACAGCCAGGAGAGGAGTCAAACTTAGAGGAATCTTAGAGGAGTTGAACTACCTTTGCAACCTGTAGGGTCCAAGTCTCGCCTCATGCTACAAGTAGTGACCCGGACTCTGGACTTCTACACAAAAGCAAAACTAGTGAAAAACAGAAAAGAGGTAAAAAGTCAGTGGCCTGTAACACCATTCCTGTTTTGGGGGTTGTTTCATTGTTCTACCTGTAGTGCACCTATTGTTAATTTCATTAACATCAAAACAGCTGAAACTGAATAACAACCCCTTCTGCACCTTAACTGACCAGCTAAATAACCAAGAAGTTTAATTGACTTGAAGCTACACTCTGATTAATTCAATTCAGTTTTATTTATACAGCGCCAAATCACAAAAGCAGTCACCTTGAGGTGCTTTATATTGTAAGGTAGACTTTACAATAATACATACAGAGAGAAAAAACAACAATCATAAGACCCCTCTATGAGCAAGCACTTCAGCAACAGTGGGAAGGAAAAACTCCCTTTTAACAGGAAGAAACTTCTAGCAGAACCCGGCTCAGGGAGGGGCGGAGCCATCTGCTGCGACCAGTTGGGGTGAGAGAAGGAAGATGGGATAAAAGACATGCTTTGCAAGAGAGCCAGAGATTAATAACAAGCATGATTCAATGCAGAGGAGTCTATTAACACATTTTGAGTGAGAAGGGTGAATGACGAAGAAATATTAAATGTATCCTCCAGCAGAGCAAAAAACCCATTGCAGCATAACTAAGGGAGGATTCAGGGTGACCTGATCCAGCTCCAACTATATGCTTTAACACAAAGGAAAGTTTTAAGCCTAATCTTGAAAGTAGAGATAGTGTCTGTCTCCCGAATCCAAACTGGAAGCTGGTTCCACAGAAGAGGGGCCTGAAAACTGAAGGCTCTGCCTCCCATTCTACTTTTAAATACTCCAGGAACAACAAGTAAGCCTGCAGTGTGAGAGTGAAGTGCTCTAATGTGGTGATATGGTACTACAAGGTCATTAAGATACAATGGGAACTAGTTTCTCAGTGTGGATATGGAACAAATGGAAGAAGTAGTCGTAAATCTTTGTTTAATATGTGCACTGAAGGACATATCCTGGTCAGAAATGACTCCAAGCGTTACTGGAGGCCAAGGTAATGCCATCCAGAGTAAAAATCCAGTTAGATACCATATTTCTAAGATTTTCAGGGCCGAGTACAATAACCTCTGTTTTATCTAAATTTAGAAGCAGAACATTTAGAGGCCATCCAGGTCTTTATGTCTTTAAGACATTCCTGCAGTTTAACTAATTGGTGTGTGTTATCTGGCTTCATGGACAGATAAAGCTGTGTGTCATCTGCATAGGAGTGAAAATGTACACAATGCCTTCTGTTGATACTGCCTAAGGCAAGCATGTATAATGTAAACAGAATTGGTCCCAGCACTGAACCCTGTGGAACTCCATAATTAACCTTAGTGTATGAAGAGGACTCTCCATTTACATGAACAAATTGGAGTCTATTACTCATATTACTAGGATATTTTGGTCAACAGTATTGTTGTATTTTTACATCCCTGTACAGTGACAGCTAAAAACACACTAGTAAATGAACTGGTTCTTATATAGCAGTTTTCTAGTCTAACTGAGACCTTAAAGCATTTACAGAACCTGTCCTCATTCACCCCCATTTATACAAGCACTTTTTTCTCTCTATGCGTTTCCTACATAAGTGCTCTTTATCAGAGTATAAAGCAACCTAGGGTTACTGTCTTGCCCAAGGATATTTGGCATACAGGCTGGAGCAGACAGCGATCAAACCAACAACCTTCCAATTATTAGGTGACCTGTTCAACCTCCTCACATCCCAGCTGGATTTACACTACATATAAGGCCAGACCGAAAGTGAATAGTTTTAACCTTCTTTTTTTTTCCAAAACATTTCATTAAGGGGATATAAAACACACAATTTGTTCCATTTGAAGTCTCTTACTAGTTAACTTAACATCTTTTCAATGAGCTGATCAAACTGGCACCAAATATTACTTAGGCAGCGATAAAGGAAAAACAAAAGAACAGCAAAGTACATGAGTTGTCAGTAAGACCTGAGTCATATCAACTCCTCAACAGCAAACTGAATAATCTCCATCAAATCTGTTGTACGATCATTAACATTAGGAAATGGTTTTAGTAAAGTAGTTTTTATTTGGTTCAAGAAGCATACCAGGACTACCATACAGTTAAACTGAGAGCCTTCCAGAAAAACCAAACAAAACATGGAGCGCCTTTGACTGCTACAGTTTTACATTTAATATCACAGGCATGAAGCTTACAGATGTGTTCTGAATAGGTGCTGTAAAAACTGACATTTTCAAGGCAAAATTTCTTCAATGAGTCAGCTACAGAGCTGGCACTGTGGACAGACTTCATTCTTAGGAGCTCTTCTTCTCCTCAAATATGAGGTTTGCTGTGGCTTTCTTAGCTGTGGACAAATCACAAACAAATACAAAGATACTGTCAGTGAAACGTAGTACATCAGCACTGCAGATGTTTGACTTTAGAAACCTGCAAAATGGAATCCAAGATCAACTTAATTTTAATTTACAACTACAAAATATAAACATGTCTACTATGAAACTATTTTAAATTATGGCCCACCCCTAGATTTGGGGATTTGGACCTTGTTGTGCTGTTGTTGTGTACGTTTGGTACAGTGGATGATATGTGAAAATCTCCTGTATTTTTTTACTGAAAATGTTTCAATCCTTTTTTTCTGTTTTTGGTTGACTTTATTATTGCCATTTTTTTTAAATAACTGAAATGTATACAAATTCACAAAATTACTCCCAAGCTAGAGAAAGAACTCAAGTTGGAGTATTGTCTGAGGTTTGCTGTTCTTACATTTAGCACACAACATGTTTCACTTCAGGGATGCTTAGTAGCTGCCAATCCAGGCAATGTGGGAAGCAGGACACGTGTTTCTTCCCTCTCGTAAGAGGGAGACCATTATCTGCATTACACTCACATGAATACAAAGTGGTCTCTGCACCAGGTGCTAGGAGGTTTAAGTCTGTTTAATATCTAAGGAGCTTGAAAAGAAAGGCCAGTAGACTTTTTGAGTTTCTTGAAGACGTTTCACCTCTTATCCGAGCTTAGCTAGCTGAATGTGAGCAGCTACAGTTAAATCTCTTGAAGGCAATTTTTCATTGCATCTTAAATAGGATCTGATATATCATTTAGGCTCTTTTAGCAAACACTACACAATTATGATGATTTAGTCACCCTCATCCTTGAACTTGTCTGCAGCTTCTGACGCCTTGTCCTTGATGTTATTCACTACATCATCAATCTTGGCCTCGTTCTTGAGGAAGAATGGTCGAATGATGCGGTTATATATCTGCACCGATCCATTAGAAGGAGTTGGAGCCATACACCACACCAAGAAGGCACACTGGGGGAAAAAAAACAAAATTTCTCTCAAAAAATTAAAACAGGTATAGAATTTGGCACTAAACAGAATAATAATAATATAACTTTCAGGCATTATGACCACCTGCCTAAATTGCTGGTCCCCCTTTTGCTGCCAAACCGGCCCTGAGTCATTGAGGCATGGACTCCACTAGACCCCTGTAATGATTTTGTTGTATCTGGCAGCATGATATTAGTAACAGAACTTTTAAGTCGTGTAGGTTGGGAGGTGGGGCCTACATGGATCGGGCTCGTTTACACATTACATTCTACAGATGCCCGACAGGATGAGGGGAATTTTGAATCCAGGTCAGCACCTCAAAGTCATTGTTGTGCTCCCAACCATTTCTGCTTTGTTGCAGTGTACATTATCCTGCTGAAAGAGGCCCACCCATCAGGGACTACCGTTTCAATTAAAGGATGCACACGGTCTCGTACAATGCTTAGGTAGGTGATATGTGTCATGGTCATTTCGGGACTCAAGGATTCCCAGCAGGGAATTGCCCAAAGGATCATACTGTCTCTGTCAACTTGCGTTCTTCCTGTAGTGCATACTGGTGCCAGGTGTTCCCCAGGTAAGCAACACACACACACACACTAGGCCATCCACGTGATGTAAAAGAAAATACGATCTTTCAGGCCAAATCACCTTCTTACACTGCTCTGTGGTCCAGTTATGATGCTCACATCCCTACTACTGGTGCACTGGGTAGCGGAAAACATTCAACATGACCCTGACTGGTCTGTGGCTTTGCAGCCCGATGCACAGTATCCTGACAGCTTTCTATCATAACCAGCATTTTTTTCCCTCTCCTATCATGACCAGCATTAATAGCAATTTCAGGTACAGAAACTCATCTGTTGAATTGGACCACATGGGCCAGCCTTTACACGTGCATGAATGAGCCTTGGATGCTCGTGACCAATGTTCCCTCTAAGCTGCGCACGTGTGCAATTGCGCACTGCTGGCACGGTCGCTGCGCACAGAAAATCTGCGTTGGGCACAAAAAAAAATCTAACCTGAATTGAAATTAAAAGTAATACTTTAAGAATTCTTTTTTGCAGTGTTAGTCAATAAGCTACTGGCTGCTCCCGTATGGAATTAGCACGATGCCACCTTATCCCATAGTCCAGCCAATAATGCGATTCACATTCGTATATACGCAGCCAATCAACATCGTTGACAGTCTATGACAGCGTCCTTATGTGCCGACACCGGTGTTTTAGCTAGCAAAGCAGCGTGGCTGATGTGGACTGAAGCCACGTTAATGACAACGTGTACAACCACTGGAGATGTGAGCAGGACAGACGGAACAATTGACGGAAAAAGTGTGGACTTTATACCAGTTTTTAAATTGTGTTGATCGGCCACGTAAAACCAGAGTTATAATAAAAATGTATCTGCAATGTTTGGTTTTCTTCCTGAATACTGTCGTTGTTTATATTTACTGCAGGAAGAAATGGTAAAAACTGCATTTTATAAGGAAAACACTCAAAAGCATTCTCCGCCTGTGAGCAAAGACAAACCTTTCTTATTGGTCGAAAAATGTACCATATCTACCAATCAAAAAATGATATGGCAACAAGGCATTTAATTGTTTAGGAAGGGGGGAAGTTTTAGGAGTAGAGCGGTGTTTTGAGATGTGAGAGATTTGCAACGTTTAGCGCAAATCTTGTGTAGTTAGTGTGTAGCTAGTGTGTAGTTAGTGTGTAGTGTAGTCAATAGTTTTGTTGTGTGTGTCAGAACAATGAGGCGACTGCTGAATGTTACAGGTGTTACAGCAGTGATACATCTCCTGTTGTCAGGCCTGCAGGTACCAGGCTGTTGTTCTTCTTTATCTCATAGTGGACAGAAATTATTTTTTTGGACTGACACAAATAATTTGTGTGGCATCAGATTTGATGCAGAACAGCTGATTGTTCTGTAAATAGTTTGAAATGTTTGTTTAAAAAAACGCCTTGGCTGCATTTTAAGGTAAACAGCTGCAAAAAACTTTGTTGTTTGCATAACTCAGTTACTTTTTTGAAGAAGTAACTATATCATTAACTGCCCAACATTGGTCATTCTATACTGTATTTTGCTGACAGAGAGTTACAGGACTCTCTCCCAGACCACAGACTCAGACTCATAATACAAGTCAGAGCTTTATAAAAATAATATTTAAAAAAAAAAAGAAAGTTGTGTTTTCAAAAAATACTACACAGGTCACGAACAAGATTTATTTAAATTTTCATTGTAAGTGGGCTAAAGCAGTTAATTAAAAGTAGTCTAACATAAATGTAAATGCTGTAATTTGATTATTTTAATAAACCATGTAACTTGGATGGATTTGATGCTGGTGTGACCACAGTGCACACGTCTGCTGTTGCTCACAGTGGTCCAAGGGACCGCTCAGGGAGTTTGTGTGTTCGCTCAGACACATGAAAAATTAGAGGGAACATTGCTCATGACCCTGTTGCTGGTTCACTACTGTTCTGTCCTTGAACCATTTCTGATCGACACTGACAACTGCAGACTGGGAACATCCTACAAGAGCTGCAGTTTTGTAGATACTTTGACATCACAATTTGGCCTTTGTCAAACTCGCTCAAGTCCTTGTAACAGATCAACTTCAAGGGCAAAATTTTTATTTGCTCCCAAGAGATTCTCCGTGTTATTTACTTCACCTGTCAGTGGTCAAAATGTAATGCCTTATCAATGTAAGTGCCAGGAGGACAGGCACAGAGACCAACTGGATTACCTTTCCAATATAGTAGAATGGGAACCAGGAAAGGAAGATGTCAGCAAAAAACTCTGCCACACTGAAGACTCCATACACCACCCAGTAGGTCAGCCACTTAGTATCATCATCTTTGGTGGCACTTTCAATGGCCTTAATCCTGGGAAGAACAAAGACATGTTTGGTACTTCTTTTACACATACCTGTAAGCACTGTTCTGTAAGGACCATGAATGTGCACATGGATCAAGCTCATGTCCCGCTTTCAATATGCAGCATGTATTGATGTATTCAAGCATCAATAATAAATTGAACAGACAATACCACCTTGTGAATGCATAGGATGAATACACAGAAATCGGCCTGTTAATCAATGGGTCATGAATTTTCATTTTCCTCCAGTAGTACCAACACATCCATTATATGTCATTAATACTTAAACTCACTTAGTCTATATGGCCATTTGGTGAAAACGTGCATGTTGAGGTGTTCGCAGAATACATCACAACAACATTTATACACACCATTAAGAATTTATCACACAAATGAGGGGTTTATAAATCTTACAGCAGTGGTTTGATTTATTTGTGTGACTACAAGGCACACAGACCATGCCATGCCTTCCAATATTACAGCCATACTCGTCATTTTCATGGGAGACTAATGTTACAATCAGTTTGACTCATATGTGAAAAGGGTCAACTCTGAAACAAGTTGTTTTTTTTTATTCTATTATTGAAAAGCACCAGAACTATACAGTGATGAAACAGAAGCTACAACATTTTGATCATGCTGTTGATACAGATTTTGTCTAATTTAGACATTTCGTTGGCATTTAAAATTATTAAAATGAAGCACAGCTACCATGCTCCACTTGCAAAGTGTCGCCTGGGATTCACAGTATTCACAGTAGTGGACAGCCTGAACTACAGCCTTTTCCAATTCTCATCCTAGCTAATGAAGCAACCAACCAAACTTTTTTAACTCTGCTGCTCAACCCACAAATGCATTTTCCTTACAAATGTAGTACTATTTAAGGGGGGAATAGACAGGATTTCCAACACCACAAGATTTATTGCAACAAACAGAAACACTGTTACACAACTAAGAAATAATCACGCAAACACCCAGGCAACCATGTTGCAAGTAATGGCTTAACTTTTAAAGAGCTGCTAGCTCTAGAGATTTCAGTTTAGTCTCGAAAGGATGAGTCATTTCAAATAGGATTTACAAAATCAGGACAAAATAACCTGTTATAAACAGAGTTACAGTGAAGATAACATATGTTTGTACAAATAAACCTATGCAGATTATTAGCTCCACTCTGAGCTTATTGTTTAACATTATTACTCTTTTCTTCTCTTGTACCAAATAATGTAACACCCATACTTTTGACTTGAGAAAATACTGATATCTTAAGATTAATAAAATGTATCAAATGTTGAGGACAATTCTGGTTACTTTCTATCAAGCTGTTTCTCAAAAAACTTGAGACAAGAAAAACATTCATAGTGACGGCAGCAGGCCAACATGTGACACTATGCTGACTGCATGTAGTATTAGCCCTGAGATTTCACTAGATAATATCACAATGATAAGAACTGTTTTAAAACTTTTGATGACAAATTTTTTTAAATGCTTTCTTTGTAAGTCACAGGGGAAATCCACTAACTTTATAGATGAAGTTCAGTTTACAATTAATAGATGATAAATCTGTGTAGGTTCTCAGTCATCCAGATCATGGTAATCTTTCAGTTCCCAGAACTGATGAAGCTTCAGAACTGAAGAGTCTTGGATGAGAGCTGAAGCTTCTTCAAGAATCTCAAAGTAGTCCAGTCGCTTTTCTTTCCAACTGCCCTAGATTAGTAGCCCGTTAAACATTTTTGTAACTCTGTGCAAGAATTGCTATAAAAAAGGCAAAACCTTACATCGCTGATACCCCGTTATGATGAATTATTTCCATGGGTCAAATGAAAATAGATCATCTATATCTATCTAGCAATGTTCCCCTGTGTTAGCAGATGTTAAACCAAAAAGCTAGAAGCCATGGGCTAATTAAGGGCTAACTACGGCAATAATTGATAAAAAGTCACCTCACATTAAAGAAAGTTCCTGGTTCAAAACTGGGCCTGTCTCAGTGTTGGGCCTGTGATGGACTGGTACCTTGCCTCTTATCCCATAACAGCTAAGACAGACTGCAGCTCCCTGTGACCCCAAATTGGATAAATGTTGGGACGTTGAACATTGAAGGGTTTCCAGCCAAAACCCTTTTTTTAAAATTCTTTCTTCATGACATGGCAGCATCTCCTTATAATTTCCTTAAATAACAGCACAAATTAGAAAATGGTCAGTATTCATTTTACTTCCTAAAAGAGAGAAGTAAAGTTTTTGGTAGCTATAATTTGGTAAATTGCAGCCAGATAACTCATACTATTTGGTGGAGTGCAGTAAATTAAAGGTTGACAAAGCCAAAGTAGGTGGTGCAGACAGATAGAAGTATTACATTTCTGTACAGGCAGCAAATTGGCTTGTTTAACATTCAGCTATTTCTAGCCATCTGTAATTATTTACAGAAAATACATGGATAAATATATTTCAGTCTAATCGAATAAACAGGTACCATTAAAAAAAAAAGAAAATTTTAAAAAAATTATTCCATACAAACATCCTCATAAATTCAAAATCAGGTGTGTATGTTATCTATTTTTTTTTTTGCTAGGTTTTTACTTGTTCAGACTTCTGATTGAGTTATGAGCAGCACCTACTTTTTTCTGTAAAACGTAATATTTTGATTTATCCTTTACATTTCTTTAAACCTGGGCCACCCATTTCTTTATATTTGCATAGTACAGGCCAGACTTCCACTGTAACGCTCTTATTTCTTTAAAGTGCTCCATAGGTCTTTCAAGTGTCCTGAATTGGTATGGAGAAGGTGAGCAAAGGGTTACAACAGAGTGGAAACTGATTGTTCCAGGCTTCTTTTCAGCCATTGTTGTTGGGGATCTATTCAAAATGTCCTAAATACTTTTAACGATTCCTCCAAAGAGAACCGAGTACTGTGTCAATATCACAGCCGGGCACATGCAGTGATTTGGGGGCTGGAAGCTGCTGGCCTTCGCTGAGGGATGGAAATCTGTTTGTCACCTTATGTGTGACAAAAGAATCCACTGTAACTACACTGATGATAGAGCTATATAAGATTTTCCCCCTTAAAATCATTATAGCGTTTTATCTGAGATGTGCAGGCTTTCAGCACTTTCCCATAAAGCTGCATGTTTTATTCCCTACATTCAGGCTCAGGGGTCATATGGTGATGTTGCTTTGACTGCATGATCACAATTTTAAAAATAGATATTAGTTGTCAATAATCTGTTGATTGCTTGGTTTAAAAAAATAGTCTGTGTTTGCATTGTCACTCATTAAGAACTGGTTGTCTCCCAATGACACGCTAATTCTCTCCTACCTGTCAGTACCTGGAGATTTGCACCTAAAACTAACTATATAATAATATAATATTATATAATTTTTATACTGCAGTATTAGATTGGACACTTTTTTGCAACACATTTATATTTTGTTGCATCTCCTGTGTCCCTTTCACAGTGCCAAATTTTTGAAGCAGAGTATCACAATTAATCATAAAAAGTGATGTATTAAGATTAGCAGCAGATGAATCAAGTAACGCCAAAAAATAAGCAGGTTCTGCTATGACTGTTAATTACTTTGGAAAACCAGCACATACATTGCGAATTTCCCCAATACAATACCAAGCTGTGAATGAACGCCCCTCCACACTGGTTTTCCTAAATGCTGCTGCTTCTTCAGTTAATTGCCTCTTTACAGCGAACGACTGTAGCTAGTCTGAAAAGGAAGACTCAAATCAGCAGTAGGGCTGGGTATCGTCACTGATTTCAATAACTGATTTGGTTCCGATTCACAAGGTCCCCATTCGATTCAATTCAATTAAATTTTGACTCAGACAGTCAGAAATATTATATTC